AAAAGCTTATTGACAACCATAGAATTATAGGATTTACATTTGAAATTTAATAGATTAAAGCAAAACAAATGGATATCCAAAACCAGCACAGATCCAGTGTAGCACAGAAATCGTTGTGCATGGCGTAGTATGGGTGTGATTATGGTGACGGTGCTTCAGAGTAGGACTTCATGCTCTTGCCTTATTGCTAGATGGTCCACATCCACAAAGCATTGGGGGACAGCGACATTAGCAGCAAGCACATCATAATTTGGACTTTGTATTCGTATTGCGTGCGAAGAAGATTTCGGGATCCTTGAGAGGACGCTGAATCTCGCGATAATTGCTGACTATTTTCTTGGACTCATCTTTGGGGCATGATTGCAGGTTCCGGAATACGCTCACCTATGTAATAGATGGACTATGTGTTACTCGGCTCGGGCATGGATTCTCAGGTGCGCTGGCTACTCACCTGTCCTCGCGAAACGTAAATGGGCGTGCGGTAAATTATCCACGTGACACTCTCAAAGTACGGCGCCGTTGTCAACGAGCCTTTATATGTGTAATAGTGTTTGCTTAGCTCCTGCAGACCTATCCAGGAAAGGCAATCTGCAAATGGACGAAACCAGAAACAGATTAAATCAGCAGAGTCCATTGGTAATTGCATGGCGAGGATGTCTTACCCGAATCGAGAGATGCGCTTGTGTGTATCTTTTGGACGATGCGTATGCCTTCGGTGATCTTCTTGAATTCGGGGCAATCCTTGTCGCCGCAGGCCTGAATGAAGAATGCGACAACCGCCAGTCCGTCCGGTTTGTTTTTAGCTTCCGAGAAGTCCTTGTACTTGGCATTGTAGTGCACGGCGTGCGCCTCCATCGAATACTTCATGCCCTCCAGCGTGTGCTCGCACCCAGACTCATCCGAGTCCGACCAGTGAAAGTGCAGCTGCTCGAACACATACTTATCCGAGCCGAGTCCGCCCCCGATGATATATGGCTGTTGCTTGCGCTTGCTAAATGTGACCATGGCCGAGGTGCCAGTGTTTTGAACACGGGCCACGCCGACCGGCTCCCAATGGCCATGATACTCGAGCGGATCAACGTCATCAATATGCTCGATAGCACGATTGCTAATCTCAATGGGCGACTGCACGGGCATACTGTGTAGTCTATCGGCTCTGATCTGGCTGGTCTGGCTGCTCTGGCTGCTCCGACCCGCTACCTATCTATGTAATATTCGCGGCGTTCAAGTATTTCTTCTTCCTCAGCTTGTAGACACGCCCGCGATCGGCAGCGCTGGCGTCGTCCAAGTGCTCGGCTGACAGAGGTGGCGCTTCCGGCGGCGACGTCGTGATGGCGATTGTTATCCTCGACGCCGGCGTGTGGAAGGAAGAAGTGTGACGGCTCTAAATCGAGCCCGCCCGTCCAATTCGATTAGATCTCCGCGCCGGCCCTAACTGCCTGAAATGGAAATGAAATAATAATAATAACAAAAATCAACATGCAAATGTCAGTCAGTAATTGAAAAAAACTAAAACTAAAACTGTAAATGAAAATAAGAAAAGTCTATTAATTGAAAAACTGTCAACTCGTGCCGCACAATAAAAGCAATTAAATGATTCAGTGCTTCCGTGACCAGCTGCCCACCAGCTGGCCAGGAGCAGCCCGGCAACAGACGAAGCCGTGGCTTTATCCCTTTATTAGCAGCAATTGTAATCGACACCTGAGACAGTGCATCCAACCGCCCCCAATGCCCCCAAGGCCCCTCAATGCCCCCCGCTTCGCATCCGTATTTGATGAGCCATTTGAGAAATTGAAATGGTTTGTGTAAATGTCTTCATTAGCCGACAATGGACAATCCGGCAAATCAACAAACCAACTGCCATTCCCCCCTTCCCGCCGCTTTAAATATTTACGCGCCTCCCTCCCGCTGGCTTTAGCCTTCGTTTGTCTTGTTTGCACCTTTCGCAGCGTCGACTCGTTGGATTCGTTAGCTAATCGACAGCTGTTGCATATTTCATAAGTGACAACTGATAGGCCACAAAACGCGTTGTACAGACGACGCTTTCGAAATTGCGTGTTCTGCATTTTCAGTGTATCAATTGAAGCGACCAATTGCCCCTATTTGTATACCCATTGAAACCGGGCTGACAACAGAAATGAAAAGGCCGAATGGTATTAGGACAGCGCAAGCAGCAGACAATAGAAAGTTTCTGGAATAACAAATCGATTTATAGAATTATGCATCTCCTCATATGTAGTATATCCAAATTTTCGGCTGTATAACTGAGTTCAATTCAATTTCTATTGCTAATCGTCTATAACATTGTCTATGTTTAAGAAATTACAAAGGAATGATCTGCTTTGGCCAACTCATACTACATATGTATGTATATAAGACTCATACTATATATGTATATAAGAAATAATTATCATATAGCTTACACAGATATCAGGGAAAGTTATATATATCATAAGTTCCTGTACAATATTATACATATAGATAAATGTCGATAATACATATACGACTTTTTCAGAAGAAACTGTAACGAATTAGTGCCATTTGAACAACTTGAAACCTAAGGCTGAGGGCAATTATCGTAATATCATATTGTCTATATAGTTATCGGAAGTAAGAAAGAATATAACGTTTTTTGTTACATATTATTCAGTACAATATTATACATATATGAAAGTGGATAAATTTTGTAGAGCTTATAAAAGATCTTATAATAAAATTTATATAATATTCAGAAATCTGTAAATTTTTCAGTTAAGCCAGAATTTAACTTCTAAACAAATCTCAAATTATAACTTAGTAGAATCCAATTTTTACGACGCTCAAGAATCTGTCGTTATACCAGGCAGACGCTATAGCCGGATAAGTTAGCTCATAAAATTTGTCTGGGGACCAGACCGTAGAGACGCTATAAGCGGAGTCGTTGCTGTACAAAGTAATAAAGAAGATTTTATGTTGTCCCAGAGACGCAATTGGGATCTACCCATGTAAGGAATTAATTGCCAACATAGGTAAAATATGATATCCACTTGCTGGCACACTTAATAGTATTCATTTTAATATTCTAACCATATAATCAGGTTATCAGAGATCAGGAGCTTAAGAGCTGGTCATAAATAATGCTGAAGGCATTAAAGAGTGCTTTAAGAGTTTTTAGCACAGATATGCATACATGAATTGATTAAATCAAATATGGTTTTAATTTGACGTTTATACAATGCACTCAATATTGCCCGCTAAGCCTAATCGGGGCTACTCGACAGACCGCCCACAAGTGGCGGGGGAGGTGGTAACACTACCTGCTGATTGGTGGTTCGACGGCTTGTAGACTGAATTTATGGCAGATACTTTAAGCTTATATGGCTATTATAGGAACATATATATCTGTATATGTATGTGTGTTTTTGTGTGGCATGTGCTCATATCAGAGGCAGTCACTGATAAGCCAAGGAGGTCGCCGAATCAGCGGTAATTATTTGCTCAGATGTTTCGCCTGGTCACAGTCAATTAATTATGAGCGAACCATTCGCAAGGTAACCCTGACAAGAATTTCAAACTTTCCGCTCGCTGTGGGAGTGTCAAGTATTCTCTCTTGGTCTTTGGACTCGAAATTGGAGATTTGAACAGAACTGAGAACAGAATGGAACTCGATTTGATATCTTATCATGCATCTAGAGCGAATGCAGTATATGGCCATGCCTGGGCCTGTGGCTGTGGCTACATGCGTCATCAGACACCCAAGACAAACATATTAATCCAATATCAACGTTATACATGAATGAGTGTTATATAACCAACGCGCGATTTGTATGCGGCTTGTGCCAAATTCCATATTCGCTTCAATTGGTTCAAGAGCTCAAGAGATTCATATCTTACATTCGGATCATAAGCTTATCTGTACGCTTTACCAAGGTTCCCAAATTATATTCCCGTTTATTTGCTTTTCTTTGTTTCTTTCAAACGAATATTCCTGATTTGATTAGAATTATGTTCAATTCGCGCAATTGAATTGTCCATTTTGGATGTGAATCGATTGACGTACTCCTGAAAGATATATCATTTGTAAGTCGCTTTGTCAACAAGATAAAGATACGGTATATAGAAACACATACCTGACCCTGTACCGCCCACGACTCAGACATCCTTCATGGAAATGCTTATCTAAATGAACTTACACAGTTAATGGTTAAATAAGCAGGGCCCAATATATTTATCTATCTACGATATTTTATTCAGTATTATCTATTATTATGCACAAATAAAACAGCAAAAAACCAAAAAAATGGACATTGAGATAAGCGAAAGGCACGTTCTCAATGCTGTCGAATGGAACTCTGATTGAAGTACTGTTATATATGTATATAAATATACATATAATCTATAGAGATAGAAATAGAGATAGAGAGAAGTAGCTTGAAACGATGTGGAAAATGTACGGACAATAGTCAAGTGGCGTTTAGATACATTAGTTAAGGTCATGTGACGGCAGTTATCTGACGGATTGATGGATCAGCCGAGCAACTTCGGAAAGAAAGTGTAGTTAATTGGTAAGCCCTGACATATCATTTTACACAAACATGTTCAGCTATGTATGTCAGATGAGTGAGTATATCCACACACACATACATACACACACACACACACACAGTCACACCTGATTGTATTGAATAATTACTTAAGTAAGGCTACAGCTGTGATAAACCTTATCAGCTGGATCAACGATGAAAGAGTCGCACTTGCAAGGAAAAACAAATATACAGATATCGGATACAAATGAGAGTGAGAGAGAAACAATTAAGTAATAACAGTGGAACGGCAATCGAATACGCTTCCAAAGCAGTCGAGAGTAAATAGAACCTCAAACATCCAGGTAGCATGCAAATGTAGCTCAGGTTAGCTACGCAATGACCTCATCCAGTTGGCATGCGTTTTGTGGGAAGGAAAGCAACAGGAGTAACATCGGCGATAGCAGCAGGAGCAACAACAGCAACAGCAACATCACCATCAACATCGACCAAATAACAGCACTCCCTCGCCCCTCTAGAAACCACTGGAAACTATGCGAATCCTCTGCAAATACTTGAATGTCAGTCATAAAAAAAGAAAGATAATAAAGCAAAATACAAGCCAAAAGCTCAAATTGACTAGCATTATACTTGTTGTATAATTATATAATTAATAAATATATATAATTTAAGAGAGTCCACTATTTACAACAGGGTATGCCCAATGTTGATGTTGGACAGCTGTTATTGTAGCTGCTGCTCCCTAAGCAAATCAATAATTGAGCGGCAAGTGCAGTGTCACCCACCCATATACACTCACACACTTACACGAATGTATTTGTGTGCGCGTGTGTAGCTGACCTTCGTACTGGCATTTGGGGGGCAAGCGGCTAGCGGCAAATGTGATGCCGGGCTGGAAAATGTTATTAGCGAAGTGGAGAGAGAAATTATATTTCCCAATCGACTAGCCATTTTACACCTTTAGCTACAATGTTATTATTTTTGAAACGCAATTAAAATGCTCACTGTCACAATAACACCAACAGTCGCTCTCACTCTGCCGGCATAGTGTTACTGTTGTTGCTTTTTTGACATTTCGCTGAGCAGACAGACATTTTTAATAACAGAGATGCTCCGAAGTACTCGACATAATACATTTACATATCTATGTGTGTGTACTTACGCACACATCTAGATAAATGCATGTGTATATAGACGTGCCAATGTATTCATGCCATGTAGATAACTGACTAATCACACACACAGCGATACATAACACAATGTATGCATAACAATATGTATTGCACGTACATATATACATATATGTAATTGTATGTCCGATTTGTATTAGTATATTTACCTGTTGATTTTGCCTTGCTTTTGCTTTTGCACTTTGTAGCCGCCGTTGCTGTCGTCTTCCGTTCAATTAAAAAAAAAATAAAATAACGGAGACAAATAATGTATGTAAATACAAGGAAATATGTTGACACACGCGCACCCAATTGCTTTTGTTTTTTTAAGAGTTTTGTTTTTTTTGTTTTTTTTTTTTTTTTGCTCGTTATTGTTGATTAATATTTATTTGTATATATTATTGAGTGCCAACAACAAATAACGCATTGTCAATGCGTTTAATATTGCGTTAGAAAAAATAAAGCACCGAACGAGGACAAGAAACAACGCAGTGTTGACAAAAACTAAGCGCAACAGAAATCGGATGTTAATTAACAGTTTCAATAACACTTCCAGAATCCGTTGAAAGCTGAAAATAAATTCTGTTAACAAGCTGTTCGCTGGCATATATATATGTAAAATAATTCTAGTAGTTTTTATTGATATTTGAAATGTGACCAGCCTAAAATATAGCGATAACTATTTATCGATATCTTACTTCAAGCACGACTTTATTAAAAATATAATAATTTTCATATGTTTAAATAAATGCTTTGAATACAAATTTATTTAAAAATTATGTCGGCAGTTAAAGCTCATATTCTTAAATTGGTTTTGCTTTTTTTAAGCTGTAATAAATTATTTCTTAATAGTAATTATTATTATCGCGGCTTTTTCAAGAATATCGACATTTTGTGTATGCGTATAAAAATACGATATATGTGACGTTGAAATTTAATCGCATCTATTTCATGAAATTGCACCTCTGTCTTTAATACTGATATCTAATATCGATTACACACAAGTCGCAGAACGCAGAGTACTTTCGGACGTGTATCTTTTTCAATAGAGTAAATTTTAATTTCTATTTCTTAGAGTCGAGTTCATTGCGTCTTTTTTCTTAACAAAGACACCATAAATTCAAATCAAGTAAATCTTGCTTTAAAAGGAACTTCAAACTTTTCCAAATTTGTTCAAATCTTACATTTTATTTGTAGCTGTGGTAAGTAAGCATGACAAAGGGAATATACACGAACTTTCTGGGGGGAAAACAAATTATACTCCAATAGCATTATGATTTTACAAATTTAAAAGGATTTTTGGTTATTTTGTTATTTCACAATTCAAAGTTTTCATGAGTGCGTGTCTGTGTGTGTGTGCGTGTGAGTAGGTTTTGTGTAATAGGACGGATGCTTTATTTACAGTAAACGCAACGAACACACACGCACGCACACACACACACACACAACATACGCATGCTTGCTTGCACATATTTAAATACATCCCGCTAAGTTTTTAGCATAAAAAGTAAAGCATGTATATATGTATAGCGTTTGTAACAATGGCTGATTTTCTTTGTTTGCAGATCAACATGCCTAGTATCAAATTGCAATCGTCTGATGATGAAATTTTCGATACCAATATTGAAATAGCGAAGTGCTCCGGCACTATTCGCACCATGTTAGAGGATTGTGGCATGGAGGATGATGAGAATGCGATCGTGCCGCTGCCGAATGTGAATTCAACAATATTGAGAAAGGTGTTGACTTGGGCCACCTATCACAAGGATGATCCACAGCCCACCGAGGATGATGAGAGCAAAGAGAAGCGCACCGATGACATCACATCCTGGGATGCAGATTTTCTCAAAGTGGACCAGGGCACACTATTCGAACTGATCTTAGCCGCCAACTATTTGGATATCAAGGGCTTGCTGGAACTAACCTGCAAGACCGTGGCCAATATGATTAAGGGCAAGACACCYGAGGACATCCGAAAAACGTTTAACATTAAGAAGGATTTCACTCCGGCCGAGGAGGAGCAGGTGCGCAAGGAGAACGAATGGTGCGAAGAGAAGTAATTTTAGCTTGCCCAGCTTGTCGCGAAATGGTATATGGCTTCGTTATTAATCTGAGATCCCATAACAAAAATTTGCAAATTCAAAAGGATGAGATACGTTAAAATCTCAAGCAACTCAAAAATTGCTTGAACAATTGCGTATTAATATAACTTTTTATCTAGTTTATGTATAAGGTTGAATACACCCATGAAATATTTTTTCTTAAAAACCAAATTTAATTATATACGAACATGAGCAGAAGAAAATAGCAATAAAATGTAAACAGCGGTTAAACATGCGTAAATGATCAGACATATACATAATATACACACACATATATGTATACACACAGGATATTTATAATCCTAGTGAATCATAATAAGATTGGCATACCTTAAAACAGTCCTTTCACGATTAAGTATTATCGGTTCGAACTTTATCTTGACCAAATATATCTCAACACAGTTTATTGAAGTATATAAAATAGGAGAAAGAACTATATTTCTTTTTTTTTAAACATACAAACTTCATTTCAATCATCCTTAATTTTGTTTCTTATTTACTAATCTGTATCATTTAACGGAAATCAAATGAATAAAACATAATCTAGATTAGAACTTAATGATCTATTAATTAATCATTTTGTAGTTTTTTTGTAGACTTGCAGCCATCAAGCAATATATACTATATAAATATATAAATAAACTCGCCTTAACAGAAATGGTATATGGGATATCTGAAGTCGAGTGGTGTGCGTTCGATGTTTCAATATGGATCACATATCTGTCGCTAATGAAGTCTTTTCAGGGGAAGTCGTGAATTCCAAAAAAATAATCTCGAGTTTTGCTGCATTCGTCATTGTTCCCCCCCCCCCCCCTCGTGGTGTGATAATATTTTATTGGTAATATTTCTATGGATGTTGGTAAATTGGAGCTCATGTAGAATTTTTCTATTTGAAATCTGAAAATGTAAATAAATAAATATTTGATCGATCCAGATCAGAACCAAAATTCGAATTTCATGGATGCGAAAAAAGTCTGTAATTATGTATTCTCATTTGTTTTTGTCATCAGCTGAGGATTGAAAATCTGAAAAGAATATAGCGAATATGTATGTACATACATACATCACCTTACGTACATATGTATACATATATGTAAGTAGCTTCAAGAATTTGCTCGAAATCTAAGGACGTCTGAAAACTTCGAACCGAAAAGATATCGCCAGTTAGCTTTCTACATACAAATACCTATGTATGTGTATGCATTTATGTACATACATACATATGTTTGCTAATTCCATCCGTCTTCAAACATGTCATTTGCCTGCCTAACCATATACTACATGCATACATACAAATGTATGTACATAAATGCATAAGTATGAAGTCCACATACATATGTACATATGTATGTCTGTAGGTAAATTTCTTTTTTATTTCTCTTTTACTCCAGCTCCAGCTCTCCCTTTCTAATTGATTCACTTGCATTTCCAGTTTTTACACATTTAGTTGGTTTTTAATTTTATTAAATTGTTTTAAACACTACAATTAATTTGTTAAAAGGCCATAAACAAAAAATTTTTGTTCTTTATGTAAGAGTGTGTGTGGGGCTTGCTTGTCTGTGTGTGTGTGTGTGTGTGTGAGTGTAGGTGCGTGCTCGTGCATGAGTGTCTCTGTCTTTGTGTGTGTGAGTGTGTGTTTCTTTGCTAATTTTGCTGTTGTTGCATTTGGGGCGCTTTTGTGTTTGGGTTATAATATGTATAATAATTTCCTGGCTCTTATAGTTACAATGGCAAACAATAATTACATTTCAATACATTTTACTTTTTTATATGCATATTTATGCACCAAACATCAATCGTTATTTTTATTGTTGCAAAATTACAAATTATGCGTGTTCGTTCCATTAGGCTTGTTCCTGTTGCTGTCCCTGTGTTTGTGTATTTGTGTGCGTGCGTATCGCTCTTGAGTGCATGCCTATGCGCGCGTGTGTGTGTGTCTGTATGTGTATGTGTGTGTGTGTGTGTTGGGAGAGGGAGGGGAGTTGCTTCTCATCCTTGTTATGCCGTTTTGTTTTTTTGTTTTTGTTTTTTTTTTTATATATTTGTGTGTTTTTTTTATATTTGTTTTGTTGGTTTGCATTTTTTTGGTTGTTTTTTAAACGATTTTCAATAAATTATCATATTAAACAATTGAAAGGTGTTTGAAATAAAGATGTGCATTGGCAACATTTTGCCGCTAATCTTGCTCTAGTTGTCGTTTTTCT